TTGTTAGAAATAGAGGTAAGAGATAAGAGAGACAGGGCAGAAGAAAAAACAGTGCTCCGGGAAGTGGAACATCCTTCAAGCATTTTTAGACGAAACATCTCCTGTGTACACACAGATAATGATTTTAGTTACCAGAGCAATTCAACCATTCTTATATGGAGGATAAAAACCCTTGAACTTGTAGTTTTGGGGAAGGTTCTGGGGTTCACTCAGACTGTCAAAATAAGACTTCAGTTTTATTTTTATTTGGTCAGTCAGAAATAATAATTAGACAACAATAAAATGATTAGAATGAAAGATATGCGTATTTCTACTTAAAGGGGAATTAAAAAAAAAAAAAAAAAAAAAAAGAATCTGAGTGAGTTGGTAGGGATTTTTCCTTCAGCTGGAACTACTTATATTTTTGTATGCTCTCTTGGTCTCGTCCTTGCTCCCCATGCATTTTCACAATAGTCTCTGCCATGATGGTGCTCTTCTTATTTCATTTTTTAACCATAACTACCTCATGGATAGTTGAGAAACACATCTTTTGTACTAGCATGGAGTCAACAAAGAGGTGCTTGGCCACGGGTTAGTAAGGTTTGGTGACTTCTTGGCATCCAGCCAGACACTTTCCAGAGGAGCAGCTACAGACCACAATGTGTTAGGCAGCCACACTGGATTTCTGCAGTATAGCAGATGAGGAATTCCTCCTGGAAATGTCTAACAAATGCTGCCATTTACACTGGATCCACAAAGGAACCGAATGAAGTCCAAAGCCAAATGGGAAGGCAGTGCTTTCATGCTATCTTTTACACATTCAAATAAAGAGTATTTAATCTTCTGAAAAAATAGATGAAACCTAAGCCGCAATGAATATTGAGTGTAAATCTGATACAGCACTTAAATGATTTTCGCAACCTGCAGTTCACTCAGGATGTAGAGATTTCATTATAATAGCCACAATGGACTAAGAATGTAATATCAGTAATAAGAAGTAATGGGATTGATATAGCTGGAAAAAGAACCAGACATGTTTGGGACCACACAAGCTCTTCCTCAATCTGAGATTTCCCAGAACACTTTTAATAACTTTTCGCACACATTTTACCTTTACATTTATTAACAAAGAACATCTATGCTGCTAAGCACATCTTTTTGCTGAAGAGAACAAATTGTGACCAGCTACCAAAAGTAAGGAAGCAAGAAGCTTGTTTAACACTGAATGCAGCACTTCAGAGCTAGAAAACTGAGAAAAAGCAAGTTCTCATAGTATATATACATATAGTCGTATAGTCTATATATATATAGTTGTAGCAGGGGGCTTTTTTGGTCATGGACACAGTTCTGTGGCACAAGTTGAAGATTACTTGATGCTGTTTTCCATATTGGTCCTATTAATCCCTCACTTAAACTGACATGGATCCATTGATTTTGTTGAAGATATTCCTGTACTGGACCAACCTGTATTTTTCTAGGAAAAAAATATGACTTGAAAGTCTGTTACCTTTAACTTTTAAAAACCACTTCTAGTATTTCATTAACTTTTAATTATATATATATATATATATACACACCAAAAAAAAAAAAATCATCTGACTTAAAATTTAACTCTAGATGTGCTCAAATTTGGAAATCCATTCTCACAAACAGGAATTGTTGAACAACTGAAAGATTTCCTGAAAATCAATTCTGTTATTTGTATGTGTAAATGAAATTAGAGGGGTTCTAATGCGTATGTTTTTTTCCTGCATTCTTTAAAATAATTGAGATCATCAGGAACAATCCCCTCTGCTCCCAAAGAGTTGATGGTGATGTCAGGAGAACTGTGAATCCCTCCACTGTTTTCGCTCTTGTGACCTTTCTTAATATATCAACTCCTAAAAACTTTTCAATTGGTTGGATTCCTATGTAGAGACTTCAAATCCACAAACTGTTTTCCACTGCTAAAAGCACTGCTTTAGATAAAAATTTTCATTAAAAGAATAGAAACAAAAACATTTTTATTATGATATAGCATTCAAAGTATATTGATGCTGTGCATTTAGTGTCCTGTTCATGGTCTCCAAGACTCAAAACTAAGAATTAGTCAGAGAGAGACAGTGCTTTCAGGTAGCAGGGAGCTTTGAGATACCAGTGCTGAAATGTTTTCTGGTTATGTTCTTGCTAGTGTTTCCCCAGGTCTGAAACTCTTCTTGAGTACATTGATTTGCATCCAGAAATGTCATTAGCAAACAAAACAAAATTAAAACATAAAAGAATTCTTCTCAGCCTGACTGATCACAAAGCCTTGCCTTGAGAAGTGGTCACCTTCACTTCTTCCGCCTCTGGCTCCAGCACAGATCCATCCCAACATGTCTGAAGGCATAGGAACAAGTCCTACCAGAACTCAGATAGGTGAATGCCTGTTGATTTTGATGAAGTTTTGATGAGCCAGAAGAGCCTTGTCCTGTGCCCTCTGAACACATGAATATGTGTTGTAAACTGAATCTGTACTGACAAAATAAACAGCCTCTTAGAGTCAATTATAACCATTACAGCTACTTAGATGAAAGGAGTGCTATAATATGTTTGTACAGCTAATCAGTGTTGCAGCCCTTACTAATGTTTCCTGAGTAGTTACCATATTGCAGTGTTAATCATGATTGTTCTGATGATCAGGAATTGTTCTTAAAATAATAATAATAATAATAATAATAATAAAGCAAACAAGGAAAACATATTTCAAGCCTGTTGTTGATCCAAAGCCTGCAGTCTTACAAGCACTATGTCACTTATTTTCCTTCTAAGTGGGAAAAATTCCCGGATGGTATTTTTTCTCCATAGAAACTACAGAAAGGAAGTAAATGAAATTAATAAAAAGCACTAGTACTGAGTGAGCAAGAACAAGGTACATACTCAGCTCTTTCTTCAGGCATTCAGTCTAATGGGAAATATGCCACGTGGTGATAGCATGACGGGAGCCAAAGCTTGAACTTCACCTAAAGCAGGCCAATAGTTCTGATTAAGGAGCTGTTAACTACTAGCACAAAAAGGAAAGATGCTGAGTACCTGGGCCAGAAATTGTTTGTGTGGGAACAACCTCTGTGGTGACATCCACTTCTGTGCAAATGAGGGCAGAGCATGGCCCCATGTCCTCAGTTCCCAGAGCTGTCTGTGGGCAGAAGGAACAACATTTAGGGATGGGCACTTGGGCAATTGCTAATGGCAGGAAAATCCACAGTTCTCTGACATTAAGGCATTGTAAACAAGGAAAGAAAAGAAATCTGTGTTGTGTTTTTTTCCTTTTTTTTTTTTTTTTTTTTTTTTTTTTTTTTTTTTGGCATACAACGCCTAAAGCCTTATCTCTCATTCTGTCAAGAACCAAGGAGTATGTATACAGATGGTGCAATTTATTATGTTCTGTACTGTGACCAAGTGCTGAAATACCTTCAGGAAATCACCAGAAAGCCTGAAAAGCTTTGCTGCCTCTTGTGACTCCAGCTCAGTAAGACTATAATTGAATGAGCACAGTATATTAAGCACTCCATGTTACACAGTAGACTTACAGAAAAAGGATGCCATCTTTTTTCAGAATCATTACAGAAAATATATTTGCCGCACAGTTACTGCATGCACCCAACATCATGATGTCAGTCTGGCCGTACTTGGCCTTTACAAACTTATGAGAAGGGGATTTTCAAATAACTGGCCAGCCACAATGGACCGAGTTCAAGTCAGGTATCACTCTGTTGAATTCCACTGTGTTCTCATTTGTAGGATGTTGCTGAGCACTGACATTGAAACCGGTGTTTTTTGGGATTGAAATGAATGGGGATTTGCTGGCATGGAAAGAGACTTTTATCCATGCACTGGCATATTTTCATTCCTGCTTTACTGAGCAGATTTTAATGAAATAGTTTATGAAACTATGTCCAGCGGATGCAAGAAATAGAGGGGAAAAAATAAAATCCATATCCATAAAATCCACAAAAGCCCATTCATCTCCAAGTATGAAACATAAACCTTGAGCCCGACACTTTATTTGAGCCCACTTGTTTTAATTCATCCAAAGCACCAAAAACAGGAGTGTGCCACCAACCCAACAGCAGACACTTATGAACATCTTGGTGCGCGCCAAACCCAACCAGCTGCCACAGCCATCAGTCACTGAAGGTTTTAATTGCTTCAGTACAAGCAAAACCTTCTTCATCTTTGATTTTCTGGCCTGCTTCCTTCCTGCAGAGCCATGATATCAGGGGGCTCCTTATCCACATCCTTGCAAGCGCTGTTATTTCCACGTGCTGCATTATCACATAGAAACACCAGCACTGGGAAGCACCCTCCTTGTGACGGATACCAGGCTGGGGATATCAAGCTGACAACAGGACAATCCCTAGCATCACTCTAAAATAATAAAGGAATAAAATGAGAAATAAAGAAAAAAATAAAAGGAAAAAAAAAAAAAAAACAACATATGATAATTATTTTACTTTTTTTATTAAAAGAGAGGGGGAAAAAAAAAAAAAGATTAAAAAACCCCACCACACACGGCTGCAGCGTGGGACCGTGGCACCCCGCGTGCCTCCGCCCGCAGCCCCGCGGAGCCGCGCGGAGCGGAGCCCGGCCGCCGAAGGGAAGAGCGCTGGTGTGGAACAGCGCGGCAGGCGCCGGGCGCGCAGGGACCGTTCCGTGGAATTGAAAAATCGCTGCAGCAGCAGCGCCGACGGGCAGGGGGTCTGTGCCATCCCCGCGCCGCTCCTCCGCCTCTCCCCGCCGTCTCCGGCCCCTCCGCCCTGCAAACTTTTTCCTCCCAAGCGGCGACCACGGAGCGCCCCGGTGGGGGGAGCCGGAGGGGCGGGCACGGAACGGCGGGCGGGGCGGGCGGAGGCCAGGGGGAGCCGCGTCGGGCAGGGCGCTGGGCTTTCCCGACCACCCCTTCCCCTCCCCATCCGCCCACCTCCTGCCTCCCTCCCTCCTTTCCTCCCTCCCTCTTTCCCTCCCTCTCCTCCAGAATTAAAGTTGGGACAGTCGCGCTCCGGGGATGGGTGCGAGCCAACGCCTGTGCCGCCGGCTCGCTCTGCTCCGTCCCCAGATCGCCCGGAGCCCGCGCCTCCGCCCGCCCAGGAGGGATGCTGCTCCGGGAGCTGCTGGGACTGCTCCGCTGCTGCTGGCCCTCCCTGCTGCTGCACTGTGCCCTCCACCCGCTCTGGGGCTCCGTCCAGGTAGGGCCTCGCTCAGGGGGCCGGGTGCGACGGGCAGAGCTCCGGGCGGCGCCGCGGAGGCGGCGGGCGACGGTCCCCGGGCGGGGAAATCCGCGGCTCTGCTGGGCACGGCACGGCTCGGGCTGCGGGACCGAGCGGGTGAGGAGCTGCTGGGCCCGCCTCGAGCCCCGGGAGCGCCCAACTTGCTGCGGCCGGAGCGAGGCGGAGCGGAGTTTCTTGAGCGAGAGCGTTTCGGTGGCGACATGCACGGAAGATGCGGTGCTCCGGAGGGCTTATTTTTGGGGGTGTTCCGCTGTGAGGTTTTGGTGTTGGTTGCGATCTGAGGGCTGTTTGCTTAAACCTCAAATCAGGGTTTTCCAACTCCTCGCCGGGTGTCGGTGGGTGACCTTGGTGGTGGTGTGGGGTGAGCTGGAAGGTCCCCAATGGGCAGGAGCGTGTCGGGAGGCAGAGTGCCCGTCCAGCTCGGGGAGGGGAGCAGCGGCACAGCTCGACTCAAATGCGTCACTTGGGTATTTTAAAGTTTATTTATAATATATGTCTTCAGCCGAGTGACTGATGAGGCAGCTGAGTGCTGTTCAAGAACAGCACAATTGCAGTTTCTTGGAGAAAACACGGTGGAGACTCCGCATCTTTCACTCCTTGTTCTAAACTTAGTGACTCCCCAGAGATTAAACAGAGATGTTTCAGCATCTCGTGTCTGCCTGTGAGTGACAAAGAAGATCTGTGCACCTTACAGATTAAAATGAGCAGAAACACGGCAAAACCAACATCTTTCAAACTAATTTCTTCATCATAAAAATGTCAGCCAGCACTACCCTGCTGCTGTCCTGCTCAGGTGTGCAGATTGCTGGCTGTAAGGCAAAGCTGTAGCTGCATTTTTTAAAGGAAGTGCAATTGTGCGAGAAGAGATGCCTCCCAAAATCTCTCTCCTGTAATCAATCTATCAGTCAAGCAGACAAAAAATAAATAAATAAAATATCTTGCATAAACATCTTAACGGTGAACTGCTTAAGTGACCTAGGGCAATCTTTCAATAGTAGTTACATTTATAACAATTGAAACAGTTTCTGAGAACTGCAAAAACCAAGGGGTCCAGACTTCCCTTGTAAAGCTTTGTTGTCCCATTCTTCATCTATGTCTGTGCTATTGCCTGCTGCTCTTTGTGAGGGCAATCAATAAGACTTTCGCTTTTTGCCCAAACGCACATGTATCCCAGGACACCCTGGCAGGTACCTGAGGGAAGGATGGTGCAGAATGCTCACCAGTGTGCCAACATGCTGGGATTGGAGCTAACTTCTCTTTGAATCTCTCCCATGGCTCCCTTCCCCATGTCGAGTTGTAACGAGTGCTCTTATCATCAAAGTCTTCCTTTAAGGATGACTGACCCAGGGGTCCCATTGTATCCCTTCTCTATCTACAGCAGCCATTGCAGTTTCTCACTTCTCCCAGCCCTTTTCTACCCATTAGCCATGCTCTGACCTGTGTGTGGCATGGCCTCCTTCACCACATCTTGGTGCTGCTTCCTTGGGCCTTGCCTTGAGGCACTTAACAGAATCAGTCTGATACAAATCAGAGGAGCAGCATTATTCAAATACTTATGTATGCATATATATGTTTTTCTTAGCCTAATAGCCAACACGACAGGAAGGAAGGCATGATTCTGTCTGAAGTTTTTGACATAATTTAAAAAATGTATCAGTATGTGCAGTGATAAATGGTAGTGTCACGTCTTTTCTGGTTTTATAAACATGGATTTGGATTAACTGTGATGTGAATTATGCAGAGCCGCTCTGGGATTTACATGGCGTTGTTGAGATCTCATCTCTGTAGACTGGTTCCAAGAGGCAAAGCTCTCACCAACTCAGCAGGATCTTAGAGGTCTCAGTGGCATTTCTCTTTTCAAGCTTTCCTCCCTTTGCCTGGTTCACAGTCACCAGAGGGCCACGGTCAGGAGACTGTACCAATCCACTCTTTCCATCCCATTCTGTAGAGCATGTTCATGGACTGTTGCAGCCCTGCAGGACTCTACTGGAGTACTGAGCTCCTCTGGCCACACAGAGATTGGTTTTCCCACCCTGCACAAAGCAGAACCGGGCCCACTGCTTCTGCAGAAAGTTTTGGAAGTGTGACAGATACGGATCTCCACTGAGAAACTTCAAAAAGAAACCAATGTTTTCCACTTCTTGCTTGCTTTTCCCTGGGCATTTGTGGATCAGATTTTCATTGCCATGAATATTTAAAAACATTTGCCTTTTTGCAAAAGCACATTTGTATCAAAGGTACAAAATGGTAATGTCAGCTCTCTCCTTATTTTCAGAGCAGGAAAAAAAATTGCACCCCCTTGAAGGCCAGGCAGCACGTGCACCCAAGCGGACAATTGGCCAGACAAGCAGCCAAGTGCCAAGGAGACATGTGCATGGTGCTTACAGCACCAGGGCTGCAGAGTGCGGCAGGAGAGTGGGGAGTGTGCCCAGGGTCCAGAACCAACCCCTCTCCAGGGCTCTGAGTGGGCAGTTATTAGCAGGGCAGGCCAGAGAGGGATGGGGTTCTCTCAGCAGATCTGTTTTTCTCCTGCCAGCTCCTGTAAAAGCAGCTTACTTTGAATTACAGACAGTGGTAAAGAAATGTGGAGTAATTTATTTCGTCATCCTCCAGGAGGATGAAATTTTTCCCCAAAGCATATTTCCTAGTGATTTGTTCTGCTCACCTTTACAAGATATAAATAATATTCTTCATTCCTTTCATAAGAAGGCTAATAGACATCAATACCATGGGTTGTTTTTTTCTTGAAAACAAGCCAAATGTCTTCTTTTTTTCTCAAATCTATCTTGCTACCATTAGTTAATCTTCTTGCAGCAGTCCTTGACCATTTCTCTGCTCCTCAAGGCTACAGCCTCAATTTATGTCTTTCCTTTTCCTGACAGATTTCAGCTAACTTACAATATCCTTGTTCTTTACCAACCCTTGAAGGCAAAATCTAAGTTTCCTGTAGGTATCTTCCGTCAACTGGATCAAGTGAAAAGAGAAGAGAACCAAAGAGGTGTCAAAGCCAATGCTCTCAAATTTCAGTTCTTTTCCAAGCATTCAGAATCACTGTGAGGAATCTCAGTAAATGATTCAGAGTGAGATATGTAGAGATATGTGGATATTTCTTTTTTTCAGAAATGTTATCAAAAAAGTATACAGGAGCAGAGAGCTGTTGGACATGCATAGGGTTAATCTTGTCTGCAAGGTAATTGAGAAAAATACACACTGGTTTCTGAGGACACTCTATTATCAGTCTAAGGTAGAAGAGCCTCCAGGGATTTAAAAGCAATCAATAGTCTAAAAATAGCCTTTTGGTTCTGGTTGATATTAAGTTAGAGCAATAATTCAGTGTATCATACCATACCAGCACCACGTTCAGATTCATATACACAAAACTACTTCTGGTCTGCGTATGAGGTTGGCTCCAAGACTGCTTTATGGTATTCTATCCTGGCTCTGTTCTCTCCCACTTCACTGGCTCCCCCAAGCCTGTAGGGAGCCATAGGGCTTATCAACCAGAGAACCAAGAAGGGAGTGATCATTAGATAGGGGGTTCATATTGCTGCCCGATCAGCGGTTGATGCTGGCAGAGCGATGCTGCCCCACCTGCTGTGTGAGTGCTGCAGGTGCTGCCCCATGGGCCCCACCTCAGACTGCCCTGTGTGCCTTTCCTCTGGGTGAGCTGCTGGCGCCCTGGCCCCAGTGCACAGACAGCCCCACGGGAGCCAAAGTGGTACAGAGGGAATATTCTGCTGCCTGTGATCACTTATGTTAAAAATAAATGCACCTACTTAGCAGACAGATTTATTACCAGTTCTGAGGGATTATGAAGCCAAGTCACTTTGATTCATTAGTGTGTTCGGAGAGTTTGTGTAAGTTCCTGGAAGCTGTCTGGGATGGTCTCTAACCAGCCTCATGCTGTTACCTGGCTGTGAAGGGAAAGTTGGAAAGCACTCGTGCTGAATTTGTCTCTCCCTATGTTTGGTAATAGATGTTGACGTGCTGTTTAAACAACTGATCCTCCTGACTTGTGCCTCAGCTACGCATAGCTCTTTCTATTCTTTTCTTCCCTCTCTGTAATATTTAATCAACAAAGACCTACCTCTATTTCCCCGAGGCCAGAGCAATGCATCTTTCTGCATTTAGAAACCTCCTACACATGTGAACATGTCCTTGGTGCAGTGATGTTGTTTTAATTGCCCACATCTCTTTTTTTTTTTGCCAGAACTACATGCAGGGCCTGTGTGCTTCCTGCAGTGGAGAGTAGATGGGCTCTGTCCCAAAGCTGTCTGAGAAAGGGAGGCAAAGGTGGAAGGGAGTAGAAGGCAAGTTGGGGGGGGGGGTGGAACAAGATAATTGCTAAAGGTCCCTTCCAACCCAAAATGTTTTGCGGTTCTGTGTGCCCCAAGTGTCCATGGATATGGGCAACAGGGCAGAAGGGGCTGTCTGAAACAGGCCACAGAGGCTGGAGTGAGACATTCTCTGCATGATGACCATCATGCCATGGAAGAGAGCTGAGTAAGGAGGATGATATTAGGGAAAAACTATTAGGATTATAACCCTCCCAAGACCAAGTTTACAAGGCAACAGCTGAATGTTCCTGTGATTTTCCTTAGCTTCAGTGAGTATCCCATATTTCAGGTTGCCCAAGGAGGTTGTGGATGCCCCATCCCTGGAGGCATTCAAGACCAGGGTGGATGTAGCTCTGGACAGCCTGGTCTAGTGGTTGGCAACCCTGCACATAACAGGGGGGTTGAAACTCGATGATCATTGTGGTCCTTTTTAACCCAGTCCATTCTATGATTCTATGATTCTGATTTTCCATTTGAGTTTGAATCCTTTCAAAAAAAGGTTAACTTATAGACCACTGAGGGCTCTCCCCCTGAGTCAGAGGCTCCTGCAGTATTCCACAGATTCCCTTTTCATTAGGAACATACACCTTTTCATTAGCATGAGGAATTTTACAGTTACTGAATATCTTTATTTACATGTTCCTAGACATATTATTTCTGGTAAGAAAAATATGTATTAACATGTTCTTTGTCATGACTAGATTACAGTGCTGAATGTATGCATTCTTGCTAAATCATTGGCCAGTGCCAAGCCATGCCTACATGCTTACATGCCTTCAGCAGTGGTTACACTTGGGTTCTGCAGTGCCTCCTCTTCAGCTTCATTGATCACCAGCAAGAAGCTGCAAGGCACAGGCTGTGGCATTTCCATTTTGACCAAGTCTTCCATGCAGTCTGCAGATGAGTAGGTGGGGCTGCACCTCGCCATGGTGGGAAGTGAAACATGTCTCCAAACATGAAAGGGAAGCTGGCAAAAAAGGAGAGATTTCTGGCTCTTGGTTCTGCCATGAGGAAAATGAGAATAATCCTGATCCTAAATGTCTTGCAATTTTTATTAGCTCTCTTTGGCTTGCAGCAACGACCCTGTGAATAATGCATGCTATTAGACGGCTTTCCTAAGGAAAGAAGGCTTATGCAACCACATTGTCTGCCACTACCCGCCTGCACTCTACCCCATAATAATTCAGAAACTAGTCAGCCACAGTCAGAATTAAGGAGGTCTTGAAGATACTATGTTAAGTAAAACATAAAGCTGAGACATCATAAGGAAGCGACCTTGTGTCCGCAGTGACAGTGGCAGTTCTCTCCAGGGGGTGAGATGCCAGTTGGGAACTCAAAAGTTCAAGGAGCATGTTCATGGAAAATCAGTCTTCCCTCTTTCTACTGCTCGTGCCATGACTTGTTTCTCCACAGATCACTCAGGGTGAACCCCAGAAGTCATGCTCCAAGCCTGTAGCAGATGAAGTCCCGGAGAGCTGCCAGCAGATCTGCCAATGCAGGCCTCCACCACCGCCACCACCACCACCTCCTCCCCCGCCGCCCCCCAGGCTGCTGGTGGTGCCAGGTAAGTGGGCAGAGGGACAGGGACGCCTGGGCAGATGGGAGAGGGAAGGATGTGGAAGAGGGCATAGCGAGCCTGTTTGTCATTTTCTACTTAGCAAATGCATGAAAAAAATGTTCTCAGTGGAGATGGAGATCTGGTTTCTGATCAATGAATAATACTTGGCTTTTGGAGGAAAGCCAGAGAAATTCCCTCCTTTTATCGTATTATATATGATTCCCTGGCTTTAAATGGTTCACTAATGTCCTAGCCCTGACAAATTCTTTCCTATGCAGACTAAGCACTGTGCTTCTCCTGGGTTTACATCACCTCCTGTTTCACCACATATGCAGCCTGGAGCTCCGAGACCCATTAATTTACAAGCAGGCAAAAATTCCAACATTCTACCCAGACCAACTTGGATGGAAAAGGTGGCATGGACAAGTCCCCAAGCAGTGAGCTGACCCTGCTGGCACTGCCTGTGATGACTCAGTGGCAGGACATGGGCTGAGCCCTGCACAAACACCTTTAGGTGCTTGCTATGTCAGCAGAACTCCTTAGCACTGTGATATTTTTGCATATTTGTCTCTCCCTGAAAGGCTGCCTATTAATTCTTCTCCCCCGCTTAGATAAAGTCCCTTGGGAACAGTGTTGCAAAGTATATCTATTATCCTTCTCAGCACTTCCCCTGAGGGAAAAGAAATCATTAGCAGCATCATTTGACTGTTTGTCTGTATCGGCTCCATCCTCAGATGTGTGCAAGACATGAGGCTCGCACATAGTTTTCAGCCTGGCAGAAAACAGGCAGAATTTTGCAGTGTTTTCTGCCAGCAGCAAGCTTCGTATCTGCGCCAGGCTGCAGAAATGTAAGGCGAAGGCAGAAAAAAAGCAGTAATTTGAAACACTTGGGAAAGGAAAAACAAAGACAGCTTGAAAAGCAGAGATGAATGTTTTTAATAGCAGGAGAAATCTCCTTCAGTTTACAGAAAAAAAATGTTGTGGACAGTAATAGTGAAAATTGCCTTTATCTTTGTCTTATAGTCAGAAAATAATGTGTTTTATCACTGTTTTCTTGCACCTGGGCTACTCATTGCCCCGAGGGCACCACTCTTACCCATATGCAGATCAGTGTCAGCATTGGTCCTGGGCACAGCGCTCAGTGGGAGGAGGTCTCTGCTCTGCTCTGCCTGGGAGGCAGCTGCTCTGCATGTATAGGAACTGTCTGCTGTGAGTGGGAAGGAAATTATCCCAGGAAAAAAAAAAAAAAAACAGTCTGTCACATGCTGTAAAAAGAGGAAACAGAAATCAAACGGGCCTGCGACTGGGATAGCCTGATGCTTACTCAGGCTGGCTTGCCAGGTGCTAGCCCAGCTCTAAAAATGAGCTATATAAATCCAGATGACTAATATTTAAACAAGCTCTTTCATTTCAAATGCAATAAAAAAAATAGATTACACATTCCTTTCACCAGTGATCTTTAGAGTAGCAATCAAGTGCCTCATCTCGAAAGAGGCTTTAATTGTCATCAGCTGTCTAGGCGCTGTGATTTAGCCCATGTGTACAGCAAGTCCCATTCTTGTGAGGATGAGTGAACCTTGTGGTTAAATATTGATGTTATGGACACCACTTTTAAACAGCATTCAGATAAAGCAGTAAAGGGACAAGACAAACCATTAAGTACTTGATGCTAGGTTTGCACTTTGCACTTTTGCAGTGATTTGAGTATTGAAAAGGCCTCAGCAAAAAGAAGCCGCAGCCCAGGAGCCACAAGTTTGTTACTTTTACAAAGTACAATATTTGCACCATGAGGAAGTTTGAGAAGATGCTGCCATTGCCCTTTGAGCTTTGTCAGCCACAAAAGGCTGCAGTCTCCTAGGCACAGTCTTTAGCTGCTATTTTTTCAATTGCACTGAAAGTTGTTGATTTATATCATCTCTACATGTTGTGGTGGGAGTCTAATGGTGAAAGCCAGTAAGTACGTATCTCTTGCCCATCCCATTACTACACACATTGACAGCCATCTTTGCATGTTCTGGCTGGTCTCCACCTGCTGTGGTGAAAAAACAGAGAACACTCTTTCTGTGTTCTCCATCAATCCCACTTCAGGAAACACTACTGAGATGTGCAGGACAACATTGTATGTGAGCAGCTGAATCCATCCCTGAAAGGATTTTGCTGTGCTTGAGAAAAAAATCAGGACTTTTGGGAGCAATTACATTGCATTTAGTATCTTTTTAGACCTTTCAATATTGACTGGTCCATCCAGTGACAAATTATCAACTCTGCTTCCTCCAGATATATTTACACAAAATCTGTTAAATATTATGAATTCCAGAATTCATGTATAGTTGCTGAAAAATTTTGTGTTTATTCTAATGTACAGTAAGCTAATTCCTTCCACAGAAAATAAACAGAATCACATGTAACTCAGCAGTCAGTCTAAATAAATGAGAAGTGGCAGAAACATCAACTTACTTGTATGGAATGTATGAGTTTCATTGCGCTCTGAGGAGACATATCACTCATGCAGCAATATGAGTGTGGGAAATCAAATTAGATCATTTGGTCCATATATTTCCCAGCATGGATAACTGAATTACAGACTGGTGAATTCAGATGATGACTCTGCCACCCAGACTGAAGGTCCCAGGAAAGAAAACACAAACTGCTTTTGCTCTCAACCACAGTCAGGGGCTTCCTTTTCCTATGTTTCTAACTGCTTCATATAGGCCACTGACATCTCTGCTGTCCCTTCCAAACAACGTTCTTGCTTTCACTGTACCTGCGCTGCAGCTCTCATGGGACATTCCCCATGCCCTGCAGCAGCACATCCATGTTAAGCAAAGGAATCCTAGTCTGCTGCAGTGAATACTTCTGCTTTACAGTATCTGACTGAATGCTGAGTTGGCCACACTCATCTCTGTGGATGCTGGTTCTTTCAGTACTGCTAGGCTGGGGTTCGGTATCTCTTTCCATATATTGGGACACATGGGTCTTCACCACAAGTTTTTAACTTTTGAGTTTCTTAAGTTACATCCTGGGTGCTATTTATTGGTGTCCCACTGAGATACTACTGCTTTGTTCAGTATATATGAGTGTTTCCTCCTGAGAGCTTTCAAGCTGAGGAACCCTAGCCTGTATTAGAAGTAGCTAGGTGAGGACTGTTGGAGAATTGAGCCAATTACAGTTCCTCCAAGCAGTCTGGCATCCTTATGTTTCTGCAGTCTCTCTCCTTATGCAAGCAGCAGCCTGCTCTTTAACCCATGCCTAGAAAACTGCTGGTTAATGAAGTGAAGGAAAAGCTCATGTGGCTGTGAGGGGCCTAAGGCCGACCAAGATTCTCAGAACCTGGCTTTTAATTAACTGTTTCTTATTTCCCCTCATCTGCTTTCCTCCTGGTTCCTGGCTTTCAGCCAACGCTAAGGCAAGGTGGATGGAGTACTTGTTTAGGCAGAATTTCTAACCCAGCTTCACAGACCCATGAGATGAAGCTAGTTCAAATGAAATTGACCCGTCAAAACCTAAAACATTGCAGATGTCAACCTTTAAATACTTTGCGAGCACACAGGATTCTCCAGGGCCACTGCAAAGAAGAAAGGACTTCATCTGAAAGTAGAAGCCAGACTTTCAAAGGAGGAGAGAACTGACAGTAGACATCCAAGTAGAGACAAATACTGCAGTCAGTATAAGTTTTAGACTGTGTAAGTTTTGAGGAAAAAATCAGTTCAGAAGTGACTTATTAAAAATGAACCAAGGAAGGGAAAAGAAGTCCAGCACGAACACCTCACTTGTTGGTTGGCAACATTTGCTGTCTCTGCCCATCTCATTTACTGGGTGGAGGCATCCGTGGCACTGCCATCCCCTCCCTAGGTGATAGGAATACCAGACCAAATATTGCTGCAGTTGAAATTTAGTGGAGGAAACGTGAGTAGAACTGGCACAACCAAGTCTGGATATGAACCAGCCTTTGACTCGCTGGACGTCCAAATACATACACAGATCCTGAACTCAGTGAAAGTCCTAAGCTCTCAATTGAGATAAAGCGTAATCAAGCTGCATTGCAAAGCCAAAGTGAATTATATCATTGCAGAGGACTCTAATCTCCAGGTTGTAATTGTACAGCTTGGTTTTTCAAGGTGAGATCTTTCATCTTGAAGATAATGCATCTAATTAATTAATTATTTGGACTGTTAAAAATGCCAAAACAAAAATGACCAACTGTAGTAGAAAGCAACTTTTTGGCAACTGTACAAGCAGAAATGTATAGCTTAATTTCAGAAAGTGTGCAGTTCCCTTCAGTGCAAGTAGGAAAGCCAAAGACATTTGGATCTTTAAGGACAGATGATCACAATGTGTGTAATGGGGAGAAATCTGGAGGACAGGAACACTCTGGAACTTCTCAAACTTTGAGTAGGTATTAAAGCAACTAGTCTTGGAAGATTTCACTTGCTGACCACTAGTAACATGGCCTTTCACAGCAGGAACTTCTTATAGAAATGAAAATCATATGCTGCTGGGACTAATAAATGGAATAAGAAATGGCTATTAGCCATTAGCAAAAATGAGCAATAATGAAAATAAAAAATGAAATAATTTTCTTTCATGAAAACTACCGTAACACCTAAAGTGGAGAGGTACACAAACTCCTACATCAAAAAAATTGAAGTAATGATAGCTACTATGAGAGAACATTCTTCTAGTATGTTGGTCTAGATTGTGATTTTAAAATGTAAGCAGGATGCTGAAACAGGAAAGCCCTTTCAGTTTTGGTAACACAGCTGTTACACTGTGAATTACACTCCTGTGTGAGAGCTTTGTTTATAATTTCCAGTGTAAAACCAAATTCATTTCTTGTCTTCTCCCAGATACACTTTCAGTTTTTCTGAAGGGTTGTGATTCTGAGAACTTGCGGTAGGATTTTGAGGCTTTCAAATCTAAATTGACATCCAGTCACGCAACCTGAAGACACAGATGATGGCACATGTCAGTTCAAGTCCAGGTTCACATCATGTTGACTTCACATT